CAAGTCTTCGCAGAGCACCACGACAGTTCCCAATGGATATTCTAAGCCGCCAAAAGTTGACGCTGAGTGTGCACAGTAGGGATGAAACCCCACTAGACAGTTTGAAACCTCCAAAATAGAGGGCTAATGATTAACTGGGACATCCCTGCATCACACACAAACTGGAGGGTGCTGAGTAAACAGTTGGCTATCAGTCTTGCAATCACACAGGCCCGAAAACAAGCCTACAAATCGTGCCTTTTAGTTTCGAAAAATATAATCCGATTAACTCAGTCCTTTTTCTTGCAAGGAATGCGTCTTGCAGGGAATTGTGTTCCCGAAGTTCTCTGTTGAAGGAAATTAGCATATTTATTTATAAAATAGTTTTTATTTATCCACATAGTGCCAGGGTTATGTGTATAGTCTAAATTATGCACAACAAAGTATATATTGAGAAAAGGAAGATGTGACCACTGGTACAAGGGTTTCATTCGCCTGACGTTTCGAAATCCGTCGCGGAGCCCTCATCAGAGGCATGCATTGATCAGGTCGTTGAAATTGTTTATACACTGGGTCCTGTGACCGTATTCTTTAAATACTGCAACTACTTCTGCTTCAGTTACCCATTTTTGCTACTGTTTTCTGCTGATATCTCTGATGAAGAGTCCGCGATGGCTGTTGAAACGTCGGGCGAATAAAAGCCTTGCCCCAGCGCTCACTTTTTTCTTCTCAATTACTCCCTGGGACTCGCATGTTCGCTTGTATTGACTAAGTATACACTTTGATTCACACGTCAATATTTTATAAGGAACAGCATAACATGAAGAGGCGCGATGTTTCCCCAGAAAAGCACTCCATTTACCACTTAGCAACACTATACGCAATCAAAAACGCCAATATTGCTCAATAATGTACAGGAGTTGGTACATCCATGTCGCCAGGTGAATAACTCCATCTCTGACGGCGGAGATACTTATCTGCAAATGGGTATAAAAAGAGGGATTCTTTTTGCGCACTTTTAAGGAAATATTATTTAACTTTTAGAATCATTAAACTGTAATGGTAATGTTTTCTACCTAGACTGCCGTTAGTGTAGTCGTGCTCGAACAAAGGCTAGCATGCTGTTGTTGCGATTTTCCTTCTTTCTCATCAGTGCTAGAGCCTCACTTGTGTGATATTTACAACTAAAAAGTATATTTTCATGTTAGCCACTGTATCTCACGTTTTCGATGGTTGCTAGTAGCAAGATAACATGGATTCATAGACTCCGCCTTCTTCTTCTTATTCTTTTTCTTCTTCTTCTTCTTCTTCTTCTTCTTCTTCTTCCTCTTCTT